TACGGGGATCACTCAGGACCTTGCATTTGCGAGGCAGACAGTGGAAGCACTGAGCTAAATCCCCAGCCCTCTAGAGTGCTTTTTGACCGTCCCATTCCTCTGTCCCCATACCGTGCCGTTACTATGGACCCTGGACTTCCTTTGTAGCCCCTCTCATCCTTCTCATTCCTGCGGTTGGGCCGTGGACGAGGCCCCACAGCCTCTCATCTGAGTTCTCATATCCGCTTCCTGACTAGCGTTCCCACTTGTGGCTTTCCACGTTTTCATCCATCCAAAATACTATTGCTAGATGGAGCATCCTAAAATGCAGCTATATGTTATCTTTTCAAAACTAACAGTGGTGACTTTGAATCTCACAAATCAAGCAAACTGCCCTGACCCAGCAGTGCAGAAAGGCCCTTCTCTATGGCCGCAGCAGACAAGTCCTGCACTGATGCCTCCTTCCTCTTCACAGCAGGTTTGGTTGAATTCATTTCTGCTTTCCCTCCTCTGGGCCTTTATTTTCCGGAGATCTCACCTCCTAAATGTTCTCCCTTTGCATCATTCTTAAAGATTTCTGACCATCCTCCAAAGTTCCTATCAAGAGCTCCTTTGGACTTCTAAGTACAGTTTCTTTTCCTAATGGGATGCTTTTTTCCTCACCCCAGTAACATTTTGCTTTGATTTTATGTGAATCAAATTTAGCCTTCTGTTACGGTTAGTTGTGTGTTTGTTCTTTCCCTTCTGAGAAAAGTCTGAGCTCCTACAAAGTAAGGCCTGTCTTTTATCATCCTTGCTCCCTCTGCAATATAAATACTTATGGTCCTGAATTAAAGCACATCTTTGGGTTTGAATAGGAAGCAAACTTTAGTCCTTTGGGGTGGGTTTCTACTAAAGCCTGACAGTATGGAATCTCTAACAGGTCATAGATCATGTAGGTATTTCCATAAGCAACAGACTGAGGTTAAATTAAATGGGCAGGCACATGTGCAAATTAATATTCCTTTCATTCATACGGCAGCACTATTTCCCTCAGGAGGCAGAGCTTCTAATTTTATATACAACTTTGATATATATATATATTTTTTTTCTGTTTTTAGCCTATTAGGAGAGATAGATGGATTCCTTAGACATGCCTTGAAATGTTCTTGAATGTTTTCATTGCGTATTTTCTATGTGTGGCTCATATTCAACGACTATTCCTGTGCTTCTCACATCCTATCTTTGTGACGGTGCATACTTGTCTAGAATCGGACAGATGTGCAGTGCCAACATCGATGGCAGAAAGTTCTAAACCCTGAGCTCATCAAGGGTCCTTGGACCAAAGAAGAAGACCAGAGAGTAAGTTCTGTCTTCGTAGATGTGTGAACTGTAGCTAAGAATATCCCAAAATATGTGTGTTGATGTTCCCTGACCTGAGGATGCAAATAAAGGATCCAAACAGCAAGTAAAGGGCTTCCATTCTTCCAAAAAATGAAAGCAGATGTTTAGAAGCTTTCTGAACTTTCTTATAACAGTGAAGGATGATTACACTGATTCATTCTATAACATTAAAACACAGATTATTTTTGTATTTATCTGAAGGTGATAGAGCTTGTACAGAAATACGGTCCGAAACGTTGGTCTGTTATTGCCAAGCACTTAAAAGGGAGAATTGGAAAACAATGTAGGGAGCGGTGGCATAACCACTTGAATCCAGAAGTTAAGAAAACCTCCTGGACAGAAGAGGAAGACAGAATAATTTACCAGGCACACAAGAGACTGGGGAACAGATGGGCGGAAATCGCAAAGCTACTGCCTGGACGGTAATTCTCTGTCAAAAGTATATGGATTGGGAAGAACAAGGGAGTGGGTATTGAACATTCTGTTTTAAATGTGTGACCAGAGGGTATCCCTTCAGTTACTAGTGTTTCATTAACTGAAAGAGATCTGTAGCTTCTACAACTGGAAGAAATCTTAGAGTTTACCTGATTGTGAGCTTTTCGGGTTTATTCGGTGGTAAGCCTTGGGTCAGGTCTTTTAACTTCCTTCATCCTCAGTTTTCTCATTTGCAAAATGGGTAATGATCTGTTTCATGGAGCTAGTGTTAGGCTCTCGTTAAAGAATGTTGAAGCACTTTGTAAACTATAGGAATCCAAACACAGGAAAAAACTGAGGACAAACAATTTGTCTTTGGTCTGAGTTTATCTAGCTGGTTCAGGGATCAGCTACCATTTTGGTATTAGGAAAACCCTCATTCATTTCATTATACCACTTGACAATGTTTTTCTTTGAATAAAGAAATGATATATTGCTGCCAGTTTTTAAAATAATGTCAGTGTCATGCTTTCTTTTTCAATGAGCCAGGCAAGAAAATAACCTTGTGAAGGACAACTGTGGAAGCTCTTGTGTGTCCAGCTTTCCTTCCTTATATAGTAGTGTATAATAATTTTTGTTTATTTTGGAAAATATGTTTACTACAAATTTTAAGATAGAAGATATTAAGGATATTTTTATTTTTGGCTTTCTTAATCCAAAAGCAGAGAAAGGGTCATTTCAAAGACGGTCTGCCTAGTGTTTTCTTGTGATGCCCCAAAGTATTTCTTCCCTTGTGGTTCAATAAAACCTTTGAAAATTCAAGAGACTTGTCAAAGCAGAACTTTCTTCCATGTGCTCTATGAGGACGTGGTGTTGATTTTCAAAAAATTAAGGGGGCAACTGATTGAACTTCCTCTTTCTTTAGCAAAAATTCCCCACCCCCATGGAAACAGTAAAAGGGAGCTTAAAAAAATTGGGGGGTTGTTTATTTCTTTTTCTTTGAATTGAGAAACTTTTCCTGAGAATGGAAGGATTTTAGTAAAAGTGCTTTGCAGTTTTAGCATCTCTTCCCTTGGGATCATTTTTATTCCTGTTCTCACCTCTGTCTGGTTATAAGAATAATGGGTTGGTTTTCAAAAGATGGGAGGATTTTTTGACTCAAAATTTCTTACTCGTGCTCTAAGAAATAAAGTGTGAACAGTGCGGTGGCATTGCTGTCATTCCCAGACGTTATGAATCCCTGTTGTGGTATCTAGGCCCTGTTCCACACTCAAAAAAGAAATTTTTTTTAGTAAAGCCAGAATTTCCAAGCTGTATTAGTGTTTTATACCACAAATGGTCAGAATTAATGTCAAATGTAATTGCACTGAAAATAATACCCCTTCACCAAGGAAGCAAAATGGTGAAAAGAGAGCAGAATTTACAGCTAACTCCATACATCCCACATTAGGTAAGAAACCTATGCATTTTCAGTTAGGTGATAGGGACTGCGTGATTTTAGGAGGTGGAAAAAGACTAAAAATTAAAAGGAGAAGACAACTGTTAGTTGACCTAAAGAAAAGGTGGCTATTAGAAATAGTGTTTTGTTTTGGTTTTTTGTCAGTTACTTCTAACTGAAATTGAGTTGTCTGTAAAATTTTTATGTGATGTTTTTGTGTGCAGAACTGATAATGCTATCAAGAACCACTGGAATTCCACAATGCGTCGGAAGGTGGAACAGGAAGGCTATCTTCAGGAGTCTCCCAAAGCCAGCCAGCCAACCGTGGCCACAAGCTTCCAGAAGAATGATCATTTGATGGGTTTTGCTCATGCCCCACCTTCTTCTCAACTCCCTCCAACTGGCCAGCCCTCGGTTAACAATGACTATTCCTATTACCACCTTTCTGAAGCACAAAATGTAAGCCATTCCGGAGAATTTAGACTGATGAGAGAGATGGTTATTTGAGCTCCAGGCAGCAATGCTTTGCAGCTGAATACTTTCAGAGAATAAGCAAGATCATGACTGATCTTCACACCTCTACCCTTGAAGTAGATAGCACTAGATATGATTATCCCTGATTTATTGATCTGGACATGAGGATTGTAAGTGATTTGTTCAGGGTTACACAGCTCAAAAGAACTAGTGCTGAGTACAATCCAAACTGTTTGATTCTAACGTGGTGCTCCAAATCTGATTTAAATTTAAGATTTTTGTTTTGTTTTGCAGCTATACTGGGGATTGAACCCAGGACCTCATAAATACTAGGCAAGCATTTTACCACTGAGCTACATAATATACCCCAGTCCTAAAGTACCTTTTTTTTTTTTTTTTTTTTGGTAGTGGGGATTGAGCTCAGTACCTTGCACTTGCAAGGCAGGCGGTGGCTTGAAGTTATCTTTTTAAATATAAATTTACTTTTAAAAATGTACTTAAACTACTGCTAAAGAAAAGTGGGAGAAAGGAGAAAACATTTATAGTCTAATATTTTTATCTTCCAAAATGGAAAATAAATGTAATATTACATTTAAAGAGGAGATATTAGTTTGAAACTGAAATTCAGTGAGTGATTATAAGTTCATTTATGGTAGGGATCTAACAGAAGTATTTTTATTCATTCTGTATTTAGCTTTCTTGGTGTATATGGAACTGGGGATTGAACCCAGGTCCTTTGCACTGAACTGCATCCCTAGACCATTTTTTATTTTGAGACAATGTTTTGCTAAGTCACCAAATTGTCCAAACTGGGTTGACTGGGATCAAACTCATGATCCTTTTGCCTCAGCCTCCCAGAGTGCTGGGACTACAGGAATTTCTCACTCTCAGTTGTGAGCAGAGCTGTGTGATGCTGATTCTCTGATGTCTTCATTTTTCTCCTTTGGATTGGTGTGATTCCTTCCTCATTTCTAGATGTTTATATCTAGAGAAAGAAATGATTTATAGTGGGTAAGAAAGAGGTATAAAGAGTAAAACTATCAATAGACATTAATTAGAAACTTACCCTATATTATTTGATGAAACTTACCCAATAATACAGAGCTCATATGCAAATGAGCATTTATTCATAAATAGTTTTTACTTTATCTGTTCCATGGATTTGACAATAGACTTGACAGGAAGGACTTAGGTGAATGAATTATCATAGGAGGTTCTGTGCTTTGTATTAAAGCTCATAATTATTGCTTGAAAAATAATCTTAGTTACAGAGAGCTAATACCATCAGTTTTTTCCTTCAAACTTCATACATTATGAATGCATTTTAAGATTATATTCTCCATTGTGTTTTTCTCTAATTAAGGAATGCTTCTTGTCAGGACACATGAGTAATTTAAATTTCTTTCACTGTGTTGCTTTGGCTATTTATCCAGTTTTAAAGGATTGGCTAAATTTCAAATTAGTTTTAAAAAATTATTTAGTGAATTTTATCAGTAAAGTACTTTTTCCCCTCAGTCTCAGAACAAAACCTCAGGAAGCAAAATCCCCTAAAGCATGTGTAACTACCAGTGACTTGGCCTTTGTTTTGTTTTTCCATCTAGGTCTCCAGCCACGTTCCATACCCTGTAGCGTTACATGTAAACATAGTCAATGTCCCTCAGCCAGCCGCAGCAGCCATTCAGGTAAGACCACGTTGTAAAGAAGCTCATTAGCTAAGCAAGCCACCATTTTTTATGAAATGCTTCAAAAGTATTTCATCTAAGTATTTATTTTCACCTGATCAGTAGAAGAGAGGGTGGAGTGCAACATTCTACCAATCTACAAAGCTTGGCTTCTGGAATGAGTTTGCAGAATTTTTTTTTTTTTTTTTTTTTTTTTTTTTTTTGTATTGGGGATTGAACTTGTGACCTTGCACTTGCAAGGCAGGCAGTGGAACCACTGAACTAAATTCCCCACCCGGAATTTTTTTTTTTCCAGTACCAGGGATCGAACTCAGGACCTTTCCCTTGTGAGGTAGGCATGGGTCACTGAGCTAAATCTCGGGCTCCTTAAAGGGGAATTTTTTGATGCTCTGGTGTTGTAAGTTGAAAGAACTCATCAGTATCCACTCTTGACTCACATTTCCCATCACTGCCTTAAGTCCAAAATAACACTGAGAAAGCTTTCTGTGGTGGTGAAGTTAAGTTGGTGTCAGCTTCGTGCCAAGGCTCTCTGGTCTCTAGGTGGTTCAGGAAGACTTCAAGCTGCAGACATTGTATTTACAGCCTCTGATCAGATCTTTGCCTTTTCTTCCTTTTAACTTGTAATTCCAGAGACACTATAATGATGAAGACCCTGAAAAAGAAAAGCGAATAAAGGAATTAGAGTTGCTCCTAATGTCCACTGAGAATGAGCTGAAAGGACAGCAGGCATTGCCAGTAAGCATGTCACCGGTCCTTGGGTGGGGGCTTTAGCTTTACCCCAACACTTTTCTATATCCCTTTTCTTCTCTTTTAAATATCACACCAGCCAAAGCACTATATATCCATTAAAAATGTTTAAACACAAGAAGTTGCTGATAATAAAATACAGTCGCTATCAAAATGTATATTCAAGTGGGAGTAGTCGTTTTGTGATGCAGGAGAAACACAGCTCCCATTGCATTATCACCCATTTTTTTCCCTCCAGGACTAATCAATTCAAAGATGAGCAAAAATAAAATTAATGAAAAATCCGTATTTTGTTTACAAAGCTGTATATTTATGTAGTACCTGTTTTTTCTACTGTCTTCTTGACCTATATTTTTATTTTATAATCTCAAACATGATTGAATACATAATGTAAATGTTATATATTTATACCAGTTCTGCATAAAAAGATTAATGACTGTCTTTTGTTTGCATTCGTGAAAGCTATATGAGTGGGCACTATTGAATTCTGACTTTTTTTTTTTCTTCGTACCGGGGATAGAACTCAGGTCCTTGCGCTTGTGAGGCAGTTGCCAGAACCACTGAGCTAAATCCCCGGCCCCTGACATCTTTTTTAGTGATTCGGCAGCAAACTGGGAAAATAGCTTGTACTTTGCTAACATTTGTAGTTAACCAAGAAAGTGAATAAAAGAGAAGTGATACCCAGTAGGTATTCTTGGGGATAAATTTCTTCCTTGCTAAATAATAAAATGATTATGTACACATGGTAGTTCGACCACTTTTTAACTTTAGTCGATGTTTTGCAATTTCTCCTGTTGCATGGTCATGCTGTAAGGAGGCTTCTGTTAATTTGCTCTTCTGCTTTCCTAACCACGTCTATTTGGCAGCCCTTCACCACACCAGTGCAATGTGTGGCCTTAGAAAAGGACAGAAGCAACAATGTGCAGATAAAAGCAACTCTAGCTTGTGAACCCTCTTGCACTTGAGCAGATTAGATTGCAAATGGGACAATTCTTAAATCACAGCAAACACTGATGGACCTTTTGCAAATTATATGCAAGTGGATTATTTCTAAGACACTCAGATGAAAATTTTACACTTTGATGCCCAGTCCCATGATTTGAAATTTTAACAAAATGATAATAAGGTAATCAATCAATCACGTAGGTACAAGCCAGGACACTTCAGAAGCATAAGCATGCATTGACTAAAAGGAAACATCTTGGCAACTGTCTCACAGGCCTAAGTTCTGGATGATGCAACTACTTTTATCTTTCCTCCAACAGCATCTGATACCTTGTGCAACATCATTGCTAAGTTCCTTCTTCCTCTCTTCTCTCTGCTGTCTTTATTTCTCCACCCTGCCCCCGCTTCCTCAGACACAGAACCACACATGCAGCTACCCCGGGTGGCACAGCACCTCCATTGCCGACCACAGCAGACCTCATGGAGACGGTGCACCTGTTTCCTGTCTGGGAGAGCATCACTCCACTCCATCTCTGCCGGTGGATCCCGGCTCCCTACCTGAAGAAAGTGCCTCACCCGCGAGGTGCATGATCGTCCACCAGGGCACCATTCTGGATAATGTTAAGAACCTTTTAGAGTTTGCAGAAACACTCCAGTTTATAGATTCTGTAAGTAGAATTTTTAACGCAAGTTAACGTTTCTGGAGAAGGGATTAGAACTCGTTTTGTAAATCATTGTCAAGTTCTGTAGCAAATGTTACTGACTTAGATTCATGTAGAGGTAGAGGTATGATTTTAGTGTTAGTGAATGTTTTTTAGGAGATCTGATGTTATAGACTGCAGAGACAATGGCAGCTTTCCACACTTCTTCAAAGGGTATAATTTTTTTTTTTTTTAAATAATGAGGTCGATGGCTTACAAGTTGGAGGTTAGGTTATGGGAATGGTGTTTGAGTTACTGTAACTAATTTTCCACTTTGCTTACTTCTTTGTGCTTAACTTGAATTTTGCTTTGCTTTTGTATGTAGCACATGAAGAATTATGTTTACTTGGAGCTTGAAGCAATCTCGGTGTATTTGAAGTAATAGTTCATTAGTGGGACATGACTTTTTCTACAAAATACTGAGCATTGGGCCAGGGATTTAGCACAGAGGCATACCTGCCTCGAGGGCATGAGGTCCTGAGTTTGATCCCCAGTACCAAAAAAAAAAGTTCAAAAACAAAAAAACTGAGCATTGGTTACTTGTCCCATTGGCTCATAGAAATAAAATCATCTTTAGGGAAACGAATTTTTTTTGGGCGGGGTACTGGGGATTGAACTCGGGACCTTGTGCTTGTGAGGCAGGTGGCGGAATCACTGAGCTAAAGCCCCGGCCCTAGGGAAACAAATTTGAGCTCCGTACCACCTCAGCAGACACTCATCTTATTTCCTTGATATCTAGGTTAACAAAAACATTTCTTACAGCCCTGTTGGGCTATGATGGATCATGCCTTAGAGCCATTTAGCAAGGTTTTCCCTTTGTTGTAGATTGCAGCCTGCAGGCAGCTCATGGACCCCTCTAATGCAGGGTAACAGAACCAACTGTTACTCCTGGAGCTGGAAGAAGTCAGCAAATGGGCTGATGCTTTCTTTGCATTTAGCATCTCTTGCTCAGTGCTGTATTTCAGGTGACAGTAGCCCACACCTCTCTCATCTCAAAGTTCTGTGCCTCCCACATTGTTTCAGGATTCTTCAGCATGGTGTGATATCAGCAGTTTTGAATTCTCTGAAGAAGCAGCTTTTGCACCTAGCCAACATCACACAGGCAAAGTACTCCAGCTTCAGCAAACAGAGGGCAAGGGGCCTAGACCTGCAGCAGAGCCTAGCCCGAGGGAGAACAAACGCATGTTGGGCGAGGGTTCACTTGACTCACCCAAGGCCTTCCCTCCTGCAAGGCCCAGCACAATTCCACTGGTCATCCTTCGAAAAAAGCAGGGCCAGGCCAGCCCCTTAGCCTCTGGAGGCTCTAGCTGCTTCCTCTTTGCTGACGTCAGCACTTCGGCTCCCAGGCCTTCCCCCGTCAAAAGCCTGCCCTTCTCTCCCTCACAGGTAGAGCTCAGTTTCTGCACAGCTGTTACTAATTTTCAGCAGACACCCTAGCCTTAATAATCTAGAAACTAATCCTTTGGAACAAATGACTAATTGCTGCTCCCCACACTGATTTCACACTGGCTGAGGCTGTCATTGCCTGCAGGCCGGCTAGTGATTTTACTGTAATTCTCTCTCTTAACTTTTTGGTGGTTTGGAAGATAGTTGCATGAGATGTGCTCTTATTTCCTTCCACACTAGAGTTTAATATTTCTTTCCCTTCCTCTTCTCCCTTTGATTCCCACCTTTTAAAATTTTAACTTGTTTGCTGCCTCTTTGCGCATTTATTATGTGATTCACTGACCCTGGGTAGGAAGGAACCAAATTATAGTTGCATAACATTTGGATCTCAACTAGAAAACTTAAAGATTATTGTCTGTCTTTAAGTGGAAATGTTTAGGGAGAGGATAATGAACAAATGTCTAAGGAAGATAATTTCATATTTCAACACGGGCTCTTTTGAGTGGTGCCATGATGTTTTAATAGTATAGTTTTTGCCAAACAGTATACTTATTTCATAATGTATTTTTTAAAGCACAAAAAGCATGATATTTGTCAGAGACTTGTGTTCCTAAAGTGGTCAAATAACTGAAATTAATAGATAGCTTGACACTTTTTCCCAGTTATGTCTGTTGAGTTTTTGTATACTCAACTAAAGTAAAATAAGGCCCTCTCCAATGCCACCTGATCGTTAACATCTTTATTATTTGTGTAATGGGTCAGTAAAACATACTTGCTTGTTATCTAGATGTGATTTTATTTTGTTTGTTTGTTTTTTGGTACTGGGGATCGAACTTGGGTCCTTGTGATTGCGAGGCAGGAGGTGGAACCACTGAGCTAAATCCCCAGCTAGATGTGATTTTAGATTGGGCCAAATAAAGAATTATTGTTTAATCTAAGTAATTTTTTTCTTTCTCCCTATGTTCAGTTCCTAAACACTTCCAGTAGCCATGAAAACTTAGACTTGGAAGTACCTTCTTTAACTTCTACCCCTCTCAGTGGTCACAGATTGACTGTTACAACACCATTCCATAGAGAGCAGACTGGGAAAACTCAAAAGGAAAACACCATGTAAGACTTTGATTCAATAAAAAATTATTTATCTTATTTACTTATGTTTTATTAATGGAAGATAGTCCCCGAATATCTGATCCATTGGTGTATATATAATTTTACCAATTCACTTACATGTATTATGTATATTTCCACACTGAATATGTCTGTCCTGGGAATGTCACAGCTACCTAGAGGTAGGAGGAGGGAGGATAAACAAATTATGTTTTGTAGCTTGCTCCAAAATTTCCTGTATATGCAGAGGTAGTTTTCATATAATGTTTCCATCCAATTTGTCTATTCATTTAATAAGGACTTTTCTTCTCACTGAAAAGGTTTTCAACCTCCTTCTGCTCTGATTATAAGCTTCAAAATAAGATTGAATATGGTTCTTCATATTTTTAAACGTTTTTCTTTTATAATTTATATACAGATAAGGACCTCTTTTGACATGCCTAGAAATATTATATCATGCTGGCTGGGGATTTAGCTCAGTGGTTCTGCCACCTGCCTTGCAAGCACAAAGACCTGAGTTCGATCCCCGGTACCCTCCCCACAAAAAAAGAAATCTTATATCATCAGAAGCCAAGGGGTGATTAAGTTATTTTTCTTCAATAAAGATTTCTTATTCAAAGAATTGGTAGAGAAACAATCAGCATGAATTATGAGAAACCTTAAAAAATGCACTCTTACTAATTTTAAGTATAAAAAATAATTTTAAAAGGCTAATAACATTTTGTAGTAGGGGCCCCATTTTAATGAATAAAGTTGATTGATAAATGACATTAGCCATCACCATGTTTACGGTCATTGTACAGATCTAAAGTACTACCTGTGCCTTTAGAACAATTCAGGAAAGATGAAAAATATTTTAGAGCTCTTAGTCTTAGGGATATAGTATTTTGAACTATTCAATGATAGGTGATACACATATTTTCTTTTGCTTTATGGGTAGTTATGATTAATTAGCAAACCCAGTTTTATATCCATGACAGATTTTATTATGTTTAGTGGAAAAATATTAAAGTTGATAGAGTAATGGAAGAGATGTGTGTCTTCTATATTAACCCACCACTTGTTCCCTTTTTAAAGTTTTAGAACTCCAGCTATCAAAAGGTCAATCCTAGAAAGTTCTCCGAGAACTCCTACACCATTCAAGCATGCACTTGCAGCTCAAGAAATTAAATACGGTCCCCTGAAGATGCTAGTAAGTTCTAGAAGTCTTTGGGTTTCGTTGGTTTATTACTAAGGGCAGGCATTGTCCTCTGATGCAAGAATATTTCCTCTTCCCTGCAGCCTCAAATACCCACTCATCTAGTAGAAGACCTACAGGATGTGATCAAACAGGAATCTGATGAATCTGGAATTGTTGCTGAATTTCAAGAAAATGGACCACCCTTACTAAAGAAAATCAAACAAGAGGTAAGCATGAGACCTTTGGAGAGAAAAAGCTGTGGATCCTGCTTCCTTTTTTTTCCCTTCATACAGCCCGATGTGCCTGGCACTGTTTTTCACAGGGTAGTTTCACCCAAGACACAGTCAAAAGGTGCTGCCAGAGCTGGGTGTTCGGACTCTCCCCTTCCCAGTGCTTTGAGCAGGTGGACACACCTGTATTCTCAGCCATGCGGAGGCTGAGGCAGGAGGACTGTAAATTTGAGACCAGCCTAGACAACTTGTCTCAAAATAGAAAGGCTTTGGAAGTAGCTCAAGGGTAAAAGAGCCTTCATTCAATCCCCATTACTGTTTTTTTAAAAAAAATGCACTGGGGATTTAGCTCAGTAGCACCACACCTTCCTCGCAAGCACAAGATCCTGAATTTGATCCCCAGTACTGAAGGAAAAAAAAAAGAAGGAGGAGGCACTGCTGGACCTCAGCATCGTTCGTTTGGAAAGCCAAGTCATTTCTGTTCCCTTTGAACAGAATAAATAAAATCAGCTGCTTTTTACTGTAGTTTTTGAACATGGCTGATTATAGATAGATGGTAGATATTTCCTTTTGTTTATCCTTTCTTTCTTTCTTTTTTTTTAAGGAATAAGAAATAGTTACCCTAAATGCTGTGTTCCCTCATTGTCTGACACCAGAGAGAAATGGAATTTACATCAGAATTACAGTATTTCTTTAATTCATAGTAGAAAAGAAGGAAAATGCAACCTGCAAGGATTAAAGCATTAGCTTGTTAGCAAGCAGCAGTTGTAGCATGTTGGGCACAGTGCCTCTTGAATTTATTTTCACATGTACTGAACATTTGAGAGGCTGCCCAAAATTGTACTCTTGAGAGTCAGTATTTCATGGAAGTTGTGGTTCTGGATACAACACAGCTCTTTTCCTTTTAGGTGGAATCTCCAACTGATAAAGCAGGTAACTTCTTCTGCTCAAACCACTGGGAAGGGGAGAATCTTAACACTCAGCTGTTCACACAGGCGTCGCAGGTGACGGATGCCCCTGTAAGTATGTGACACAAGCCCCAGTTCTACAATGTGGCCCTTACACAGTGCTCAGTCTGAATATTCTACCCTGCGTGATTTTTTTTCTGAACCGGGGATTGAACTCGGGACCTTGCACTTGCAAGGCGGGTGGCAGAACCACTGAGCTAAATCCCCAGCCCTACCTTACATGATTTTGAAAAAATGATCATTACTATAGGGTATAAAGTTGACATTTGTTGTTGTTATTGTTTATGAATTGGAAATATTCTGTTTGATTACAGATGTTTTCATTATTTTCTTATGATTTGAGAGTCCTTGCCACTTAAAAAGTCTGCTGCATGGGTGGTTTCATGAAAATAGAATATTATTTTTACATTTATTTGCCTTCTAAAAGTAGTATTTCCATCTAGTTGTACCTTGCTCGGTTTGATGTAACATGTAACAAAGTGACAATGATGCTGTCTACAAGAGGTGCTCGGCATTGTACCAGCCGAGATATCTCTCTACATCCACAGAGGACTACGTCTAGGATGGTGACGGCAAATCTTTTAGAGCTTTCAGTGACATAAACAGCCCACTGTGGCACACGTGCCATAGGTTCATTGCCCTCTGATCTAGGACCACCCTTGGATACCAAAATCTGCAGATGCTGAAGTCTTGTATAAAATGGCATAGTATTTATATACAACCTGCATACATCCTCCCCATGTACTGTATATCTTTTTTTTTTTTTTTGAGATACTGGGGATTGAACTTAGGACCTTATACTTGCTAGGCAGGCGCAGCACCACTGAGCTGCATCCCCAGCCCTCCCATGTACTTTAAATCATTTCTAGATTTCTTATAATACCTAATACAATGTGAAAGCTATTGTTTAGGGAATAACAGGAAAAAAGTCTATGCATGTTCAATACAGGTGGTGGTTTTTCTTTCTCTCTCTCTCTTTTTTTTTTCGCTTGGTAAATCCATGGATGCAGAAGGCCAACTATGTTGCATTGCTGTGCCTACCACCATTTTCCTAGTTTGTAATTTGTGAACAATTATCCATATGTCTTAGGAAGAATCAGAGCAAAGAATAATTGTTATATTTATTCAGTATGTACTAATAATCTTAGTAGAGCTTTGGATGAATTAATTCATGTAACCATCACAGTAACTATATAAGTCTGATAACATTATCTCCTCCAATATGACAACCGAGAAACTGGATAGCTAAGTCATTTGCTGAAGTTTATATATCTATCAAAAGAGGGAAGGAGCAGCTGGGTTAAAATTCTCAAAGGCTGGTTCTAAATTCTATACTTTACTACTGCACTATACTATCATTAATTCGTAGTGCTAAGATAGTTCTTTACCAATCTATGAAGTAAATAATTCTTGCTCCAGAGCTTAGTGTATATATATATATATATTTTTTTTTGTTGTTGTTGTTGTTGTTGTTGTTGTTCTTTTGTTTCTTTGGGTTTTTTGGTACCAGGGATGGAACTCTGGACCCTGCGCTTGTGAGGCAGGTGGCGGCACCACTGAGCTAAATCCCTGGCTCAATACATCTTTTATTTTTAAAATCACGGATTTAGCCATGTACTAATGCACTAAGGGCCCATGGCAGCACACACTAGTACTCTGGGAGCCTGAGGCAGGAAGCTCACATTTGGCCGTTTGGGCAACTGAGAAAGGCCCTGTCTCAAAATGAAAATAAATGGATGGACGGATGGATGGATGGATGGATGGACGGGTAGACAGACAGATGGGGCTCGTTATGTAGCTCAGAGTGAAGGCCCTGAGTTCAATCCGCTGTGCCACAAAAAAAATAAAATTAAAAAGTAAAACAGCATGGATTTAGTGGATGGATTTTGAGTGCCTACTACATACCTACAACCAGGAGAGACCCTGAACCTTTTTGGACTTTGCCTATGCCTGCTACAGTGGGACAAGGGCCAGTAGATAGTTGAGTTCTCTTTTTAGCTCCTAGAGAAGAGAATTTCTGGCAGATAACTATATTTCTTCATGCTAATGTGTATCATCTTATAGTAAGCTATTCTCTCTGGTGTTAAGATTGTGTTAGCTCTCATATTATCTAACCTCATTTAAATTTCAAATCATTCTTTTCCCTTTAGAATATTCTTACAAGCTCTGTGTTAATGACACCAGTATCAGAAGATGAAGACAATGTTCTGAAAGCATTTACAGTACCTAAAAACAGGTCCCTGGCGAGTCCCTTGCAGGTAATTACTGTTCTAATATCAGTGTCTTAAAACTCATTCACTGTAAAAACTGTTACCTTGTGCTATTGTTGTTCTTACCATTTTAGGCATAGAGGAGTGCTTTTCAATAGCTTCTTTATGTCCAAGAAACACCCAACAATTTTTGAAATTATTTATTACTCATATGAAATATGCTGGAAATTTTCATGAGAGCAGCATGTCACTCAAATATGATGAAGTGGAAACTTTTTTTTTTACTGTGACTGAGACCAAGATATATGTTAGGCTTGTGTCAGTGTCTCCTGGTTTTAAACATTTTTAAGTGTTCCTTGTTTTAAAATTTCTATTTTTTATGCCCTGATCTAAGCAATCAAATATTATAAATGAAATTTGAAATTAGCTAGACAGAAAATGGTTGCAGTGAATTTGACTATTAGAATTTTTTAAAAAGCAGCTGTTGAAAATATGACTGATCTGTAGTAGACCATCTGCTATCAGGTTTTAATATCAAAGGAAGCTTTTCTTGTAATCCTGAAGAGGGTGTGTCCTGATGAAACGCAACACATTCCAAATTAATCCTGAGTCAAATGTAAATCAGAATGCAAATTTGCTCTCCCACATTATTTAAGCTAGCCTAGTGTCTGGTCTGTGCAGGACTGTCTCCTCTGTCCTGGTGCTACTCAGAGGGAAAATTCATAAGCACTGGAGCAAGTGGAGAACCTGGGTTCAGGAGCAGGAAGTCGTATTTGATGCTGTAAGTTGAAGGGCCCTACAATAGGAGACAGCATCCCATCCCGTTGGGGCTTTTCTACCATTGCATATGCTTTTTTATTCCAAATTGTGAGAATCTTGAAACTTCCCCTTTTTTTGGTATCGGGGCTCGAACTCAGGCCCTTGAGCTCGCAAGGCAGGCAGTGGAACCACTGAACTAAATACCTGGCCCGAAACTTCCCTTTTAATTATTGTGATACTTAGCATTACTTTTAAGGATAAACAGAGCTGGAAGAGTTGGAGGTGCATTTGTTTATGAATTCAAACTGCTTTCCTGTGGCTGCCCTGAGATACCAACCCCTGTGGGAGAAATGGCCGAGGGGTGGATTGTGGGAAGGGGAACACAGTACTGTAAGCATCGGGAGTGCCTGAGTCAGGCAGGCATGATTAAGGCCCATGTGAAGAAGACCCAGCATATCACCAGAACTGGGAGATGAGGACAAGGGCAAACCCCACAGGGCATTAGCGGGACACACAAAAGGGATTAGAGGATCGTAAGGCAAGGGGCAGCCATCTTGAAAGTTTACCTAGAGCTGTTCTTAAGTTGGAAGGGAAAGCTTTGCTTGATTTTTTTCTTTGGCCTTTGGTTTATAAATATAGAATGTGACTAATGTCATTAGTACTTTAAGCTAGTTTAAGTCTTATAAGTATTCTGTAACCTAGCCAGGGACTCAACCTGTCTTTGTAATAGTGTAGAAAAACTACATTCCAAATTTCAAAGAGCAAACATGTAAAAATATTTAGAGACACTAATCATTACATGCTTGAAAATTCTTAATTATTTTTCTGAACTGAACCCTAACCATGCATGATGGCACATGCTGTCATCATATAATCCCAGTACTAAGGAGGCCGAGGCTGGCGGATTCCTGTGAATTCGAGACCAGCTAGCTGCATAGTGAATTCAGACCAGCCTGAACCACATAGCAAGACCCTGTCTCCAAAAAGTTAAAAAAAATATGTGTGTGTGTGTGTGTGTGTGTGTTGAATCCTAATAGCTTTTTGCCTAATGTTTAGCCAAAACCATTCAGAGCTGTCAAAGTGATTATTACAATATATATTACATAAAAGTTTACAAAAAGGTCGATGTTTATGAAAAATGAGTTGATTTTTTTCTCATAGAATTTTTAATGCTATTAAATATTTTTTAAAATATTCAGTACAGCACTTACCAGTGTATTTATATTCTATTTAATGGAAATTGATTATCTTCGAAGCTCAAAATTAAGTAGTAGCTCTATTTTTTTAACCTGTATTTTCTAGTGTATCAGTGAGTCATATTTGGTGTTCTACAGATTCTAGCATCTGTATACTGAGATTAATCACTTAGCAATTTACCCCAAGTGTAACCAGGGCAGTGTTTGTCTACAGTCTGACCACCCCGAGTGTCACTGGAGCAGGTGTCATTTCACCCAGGTGATTCTTGTATTGAACATTTGATAAAATTGTTGTTTTTACATTTCCTGTTATAGTACTTTATAAAAATTAATGAAAAAAATAAGCAATTTTTGGTCATCCTGTATTTAAATAATTGGACCAGTAGGTGATTAAGTCACCTGTGCATATCACATGTGAAGGGGAATTGTCACTTTCACCAAATTGAAAAATTGAGACTTAAAAATAAAGTAGTCATTGCTTCTATCTACCCTGGATGGTTTGTTGATTTATACTGACCAGATAATCTGATACAATAGGTAAATAATTGATTTTAAGAAATGCTAATGGGGGAGGATTTAGCTCAGTTGTTCTGCAAGTGCAAGGACCAGAGTTTAATCCCCCAAACAAACAGACAAACGAAAAAGCTAAGCCAGGCATGGTGGCACACGCCTGTAATCCCAGCACTCAGGAGGCTGAGGTAGGAGGACTGCTGTGAATTCAAGACCAGCGTGAGCTAGTGAGTTCCAGGTCAGTTTCAACTACATAGTGAGACCCTGTCTCAAAAAAACAAAACAAAACAAAAAAAAAAAAAAAAAAAAAAAAAAAAAAAAAAAAAAAAAGAAAGAAAGAAATGCTAAATGAATGAATGCTAACACCAAGTTGTCACTTTCATTTTGTGTCATGGAGCTCAAACTTCTGATACTAAAGAAACATGTTATTTCTTAAATGTTTCAAGTTTTTATGACTATTGGAAAATGTGTCAAGTGATTCTAATATTGCCTATACTTCACATATACTGCCCTCAAATATTGCTGTAATCATTTATACCTCATAGGATCTGAATGCAACAATATCTATGAAATACCTGCCTTTATGCAGGGCGGTTGTTTATGTAGGGTCTCCAGTGGAGCCTGAGCCTGGCCTGCATGGAGGCCTCTAAACCGTACGTGACACTATTTTATTACCCTATGTTCAGGTTCTTACAATCAAGTTTAACTTCTAAATCAGGCATGTGGGAGATTAATAACAACTCCCAACACAATAGAATCATAACACTATACTATAATAAAAGTTATTTAAAACTTAAGAATGGTGCATTTCTGGATTTCCCATTTAATATTTTCAGACTATGGTTGACCCTGAGTAACTGAAATTGCAAAAAGCAAAACCAAGGCTTAGGTGAGGACCACTGTCTATGATTTTATGCAGTTTGAGAATATTGCTTGCTTAAAACGTAATACCATTTGTATATTTCCAAATCATAATCCAATTTGACCTTATTAAGCAGATTTCTCACATGCCATTATTAAACGTACTAAACAATTTTTTTAAATGATCTGGCTATTTGACTTAAGAGTACTTTGAATAATATATAACTTTTGCCACTTCTTGCAATAAATCAAATATTAAATGAGGTTTTAGTCAAGCCATCTAGATATTTTGTCATTGTAGGACTTTTAATTGAAACAAAAAATAATTCCCAAACAAAAAAATTCACATACTTCTAAAATGCAGAGTATTTGCCATTTATATAATTGACAGTACATCTAATTGTCTAAGTTATTAAGTACAAAAACATTTATTGAAAACTGTAGTTAACTGAAATTCTGTGTTCTTCATTCTAATTTAAATCATTCCTGACTTGATTATGGCAATAAAATTTTAAACAGAACAATTTTAGCTTTTGAGGCCCATGTGCAGGGCCTTTATGATTCTTCTTATTAGAGAGAGAGAGAGAGAGAGAGAGGGAGAGAAAGGAAGCAAGGAAGCTATATGTCCGATATTCACCCTCAGGGCCTAGGGAATTAGCTTACTGGTGCTACACCTTCCTCTGAGTCTGGGCCATATAGTAGAGACCCAGTTTTGTTTTGTTTTGTTTTGTCTTGTTTTGTTTTTTAAAAAAAACAAGAAGGCACTGGGGACTTAGCTCGCTGGTTCCACCACCTGCCTCAGAAGTGCAAGGTCCTGAGTTTGATCCTGGTACCAAAAATTAAAATAAAATAAAATAAAAATGAACAAGGAGAAGAAGCTATATGAGTTTTACATTTTATTATGATAAATTTTAAACCTAAATAGAAGTAGAGAACGTCAAGTATGTTTGAAACTTAACATTTTGCCAAATTCATTTCATTTTTAGAAAGCATATTACAGTGAGTTCCACACTAAATAGTTATGTACTCCTGAATTGTCTCTAAAAACAGGCATTTTCACATTTTTCATTGATACCCTTCTACCATTATCATTATTAAGAATTATCCCTTAATATCCTAATTTCTAGGGCATATTTAAAATTTCTCATCAATCCATAGAAGGATCTGTTATTTTATCAAAATTGAAACAGTTTCACATGTTGCATCTGGGGTTTTTGGAGTGTTTTGTTTTGTATCTTTTTTCCAGCAGGGCCTGACTACATAGTTCAATCTGGCCTTGAACTCCCTGCCTAGCCCTGGTTGGCATGTGCCACCACGCCTCACTGTATTTGGCCTTTAAGTCTCTTAAGTCTCATCTCATCTCTAGACCAGTACTGTACAGAACTTCCGGAGTGATGGTGATGTCCAAATCGGGTGGCCTTTAGTCACGTGTGGCTCTTGAGCACTTGTAATGTGGCTTGTACTTCTGAAGAACAGCATATTTATTTTTATTTAAGTGAATTTAATTTAGCACCACTTACCTCCCTCTCTTCTTTGAATCAGCCATTTTCCTAAGGTTTTGTTTCAGTGGGAATTGGTCTGTAGAAACCAAAATCAGGGTGTTAAGTGCACCCACTTTAATGTGGGTTGTCACTGAGACACAGTGACTTGTAACAACCCAGAACCTTTCATATACCTCCATATGCAATCTATAGATAGATTCAATAAACAGAGGCTTTTATT